GCATTAACTCCGTCTGTGAAGCCCGAAAATTTTACTACGAGACGGAAATCATAAAACTTTAAAAACATCGCTTAGTCTTTATTCTTTAGTCTTCTGCCCTTCCGGAAGAGAAAAACAACACCCTCCGCCTTGTAGCCACGTGTCTCGCTGTTTGTCTTCTCCTTCTCCTTGTCTCTCCCCAGATCCGGATGAATCAGGAAGTCCCGCCTTCAGGGTCTCGTAGTAAAATTTTCGGGCTTCACAGACGGAGTTAATGCGGTGTTTTTGGTTGCCAAATGTAACTGTAATACCAGCTGGGACTTCCCATTTGTATGAAATCTGAGAGTTTCTGAGTTCTTCGGTTAAGAAAGCGTACTGTCTTCTTGTTCTTAATATTTGAAATGGTATCTCTTTAAAAACAATCAAGTCTTCCCCATCAATTCTCAACCTCTTTCCGTAGAGCCTCTGTATTATCTCATTTCTAGATTTAGCAGTTAATAATTTTTGATTAAAAAAAAATTATGTGAATCTGGTACCCTTTCAAAGATGCCAACTGTAGTTTATGCAACATGATTATTCCCTCATTTTGCTTATAAACATGCTGGGCGCTTCTGATCATCTTGTGGTCTCCCCATGAGGGGTCATCTTGTGGTTGAGGAGACATCTTGCATCTTCTCATGAACAGCAGCTGTCTGGAGTACTTGTGGGTGATCTCAAGGCATCTCATCTGAAGAATTATTGAAGAGCTGGTTTACCCATCAACTCTTCATTTTGATTCAGTCATCAACTCAGCTCTGCTTTTCACAACACTGCCTTCATTTCTTCCCCAGAAGTCCCATATTTTTAATATAAGAATCATTCAGTATTTGCTGGCTAATCTTTTTAACTTCCTGAGGGTAAATGTTTGTACTTAGCTGGAAAGGGAGCATACCTTCATTCTTTGCTTTTCTTTTGTTTTTCTGGGCTTCCTAGAAATATCGGGGAATCATTCTTAATTTTTTAAAAGCATTATTTAAAAAAGCTTAGAATATTAACAGAGTCTGAAGGAAGTCTAAAGTACTTGCCCATTATAGTTGTCAGTGTACAATAGAAACATTTGTATTTCTATACGTAATTCCTTTCTTCAGAAAGTTTTCATACAAGCTAACTAGGACAAGATTCAGAGAAAACCTTAAGCACTAAGAATATGGTTTCACAAGCCTTTGAAGTATACCTGCTACTCACACTAATATATAGTATATTGACCTTTCTCTTTAGCTATCTGATGATAATCATAATTTGAAACATTCACAATTCATTTGAAAACTTAGTACTAGTGGCTGTTCTCAATTCACTATCTATGCTTCTTTGGAGGTCATTGCTTTCTATATTTTTCAGTGTCGGTAGAGTAAAAGAAATCTGAACAGATGAGATAAACACAATGACATTTGTAGAGTCTAAACTGAAAAAATGACCCACAGTTTAGGCATGCTTCCTTTTGTTGTAGAAAATCCAACAGTGAAGTCACAGTATATATAGAAAAACAAGTTTCAATGAAATGTTGCTTAGCACTGATCTGTGAAGTCCTTGCAGACATTTCATTATCTAAATATATAACATCAACGATGTTACCAAATAACCAAGTTTGCAGTGTGCCAAGGATTCTACAAAGAAGAAGTTTGTAACAAACAAACCAGAGTTAAGAAACAACTTCACTTCATTCCCTTCTGACACAATTGGCAGTAAACATGCAAATTGTATAAGAAGGAAGTCTATAGAGCAGTGATGGCTAATCTTTTCCAGAACAAGTGCCCAAAGCATGCCCCAAACCCCAAAATACAATTTGCATGCAACCCTGTGCACACCCTCTGCATGCACCTCACGCCCCCCCATGCATGTGCCCCCATGCCCCCACCTCCTTGTACATGCACGCATGGCCCTCTGTATGAGCCCCGCTCTCGTGCATGTGCGCAACCCACATGCACCTCTCCCTTTGTGCATGCGTGCCAGAGACCAGCTGGCCAGTGGAAGACATGCGCGCATGCACAGTGGAACTGAACTAGGATGATGGCTCACTTGCCCACAGAGGGGGGCCATAGGTTCGCCATCACGGCTATAGAGTAATGGTTTCCCATCATTTTTATTAATTGCTGAGACATACAGCTTCTTAAGTAAGCATCCATCTGTGGACATAAACTTTAATCAGTGTTTTGCGAAGTTCCCAATGCTTGATTTTTTTTAAACTTGATGTGTGGTTTTTCGATTGTTCCATTCATTCCAACAGGAGTGAAATTGCACTGTCACATCTTTTGTGAGAACTGCAATTTGCTTTTGGGTCCCGTTCAAGCCCTTTAAAGCCCTCCATGAAGTGGGGCCAGGTTATTTGAAGGACCATCTTATCCCAATTACATCTACCCGGTTACCAGAATGAGGAGGCAGGGTATGTTA